AAGAAGAGATGGGTAGACGAGAAGTGTCTATCGTTACAGTGCCCAAGCGCAAGCTATGGATAACGAACCCTTCATGAGCTTGTTGATCAACGATTCCGTGGCCACTCATTCTATGTGTTATTTGCGTTTCATAGTGCTACTCATCAGCGCCCTCCTTCCCCATGCCATCGTACCATAACTGCATATTCCTTAATCGATACCACCATTCAAGGATTGTTCAATGCTCCACGGTATCTCGCACGTAGATCTACTCACGCATTCTGATCTCGACTATACCGATGTGTTTCTGTATGCAACGGACATTAAAGGACTGACTAGAATTGTAAAAAAAGTGAGCGAATGTCCAAAGAGTGTCCATGATAATCCTGCGATAAAAAGCAAATATGAAGCCAAAGAAACATAAACCCAGTCCAAACTGCTTAGCTCTCACTCACCCTCCACAGCAACATCACGTCGCCACCTGTCCACACGACCGTACTTGCCTGCATCGTGCGCTTGGGGAGGTGAAGGGGGAGGCATTGGTACGCCCATCATCATCGGAGGGACAGCCATAGGCGTAAAAATGCCAGATCCCATCATGGTCGGGTTGAAAAACATGCTGTTCTGCATTTGAGCTTGCATCATCATTTGTTGTTGCTGCTGAGCCTGTGCGAACATCTGGTACTGTGTTCGACGTTGTTGCTCAGGATGGAAGGCCAGTGGTTTGTCGTCATCTTCTTCGCCGCCAATGAAAGGCAACGATGTCTGAGAGGCCAGTGGGTATCTAGAAGCCCGTAAACCAAGCGGTCGCTCGTCCTCATCTTCGTCTGCGCGGGATTGGCCGTCGAAGTTAATAGATCTGGCTTTGTTGATGACATCTACCAGGGGCTTGTCCTCGTCATCGTCATCGTCATCTGCATGATGCAAAAGCTGAGTGGCCCGTTTGGCAATCCTAGCTGCTGCTGCCGTCAGCGGGATGTCTTCTTCCGAATCGTCATCAATGCCCAATGGCCCCAATTTCGATGCCCGCCTTACAGCACGCTGAGCAGCGGCTGTCAAAGGAAGGTCTTCTTCGCTATCATCGTCATTTAGTTGTGGGAACTGACGAGATGGGTTGGTATTGGACGAATACCGTGGCCCAACCCCAGTGATCCGTCTGGGCTCATTTTCTTCGTCTGAGGACTCAGAAACCCAGCGGTCAGCAGCTTTTTCGAGAGTTGCCTTTGGTACGGCGTAGCCGTCGTCGCTCTCAGTTTCACTCTCGTCGTCAACCTGAGGTGCACGCTTAAGAATGGGCTTCTGGATGGTAGGCAGAGTGGGAGGGGCCGAGCCTACTCGTGGTCCAGAGGGGAGGTCGGTGGAAGTGGATTCTAGCGGAATGGCGCTACCTTTTCCTTTGGATTTTCCTTTCTTCTTTTTCTTACTCCGGTGCTCCTCTTCCTCCTCTTGCCGCTTCTTCTGCGCTTCAGCTTCAGCTTTCTCTTCTGCCTCCATTTTTTTCAACTTGACCATTTCAAGATCCCACAACGTGTCCACACCAAATACAGAGCGACTTTTGGACAAGAGCTGCTCTGCCCCTGGACCAAGATTCATGGGAGGTTTTTCTCCCTGCATGTCCAAGAGAGGCTTACTGCCAGAGGAATTCCGGCGTAGGAGAGACTGGCGAGGATTTGGAGTGATTGCATTGTCGAGATTCTGTGAAGGGGGACGTCCAAGTGTCTGAGGATCAATGAGAGTACTTGAGCGGCGAATCTGACCCCGGACCATCATCGATGGTCTTTCATCGCCAGTAAAGACACTGAAGTGACCGTAAGGACGGTACTGAAAAGACGGTTGAGATGCTTACCGAGCTTTCTGCTTTATCTCCGCTTTGCGATGTTCTAGATTGTCTATCAAACTCCTTCCATAGAGCTTCCCAGCCGGGCGCTTCATTTCCACATCAGTGGGAGGAGGGGCAGGAGGTAGGGGTATTGAAACAGGCACAGGGGACTCTTCTTCTTCTTCTTCTAGTTCTTCGAACTTCGCTTGTTCACCATCTTTCATCGCTCGAGGAAGACGACGGTCAATGTCAGAGTACGCAATATCTCTTTGCCCTCCGACCACAAGCGTGTTGCGAAAAGCGAGTTGAGACAGTGTAAGACTTGCTCGAGGATTAGGGGTGAAAGAATTGGATGCTATGGGTGCTGATGCGGGAGTCGTGTAGTTTGTCAAAGAAGTGAGCGAACGGTTCGCAGAGCGAGCACCTGGTGGCAAGGGCGGACCATCTGTAGATGTTTCAAACCCAATTCTAGGTGTAAAAGAAGGAGGAGGGGGAGGGGGAGGAGCCACGTTTTGCAACGGGCTTGGCATAACCAGAACCTTTGGCCTAAGTAATTCAACAGTGGAATAAGGCCGATCCCTGCGTGAGTCTGCTTCGGTGTCATTATCAATGAGAATCCGAGTGCCCATTGACCCAACGGACATTGTTCGCGCACGAACTTTGGGATCAAATCGTGACAACCGGGAAGGGGAAGGAGGCCTTACAGCAAAGGGATTATCCTCTGCAAGTATGTTCTTGGATGCCATAGTGCCCATCGTTGCATTAGACGCTGTTCTCCCGTGATTGACTTTGGGATCAAACCGAGATGCACGGTCAGGTGATGGGGGTCGGATAGAGAAGGGACTGCCATCCTCATCGACATTTGCGCTGCTCAGAAAGTTCTTTGAGCCCATACTAGTGTCTGATTGTGTACGGGTATGTACTAAGTCAGCACGTGAAGCAGGTCTTTCTCCACCGGGAGAACCATCTCGAATTGAGACAGACGGGAATGGAACAGAATGTAGAGGGGGTACGACAGGCATTGTCTCAATGAGAGCGTGGCTGGATTCACGGCGACGTGGCATTGGACGCTGAGGAGAATGTATCCGCTCTAAGTCAGCAGAAGATCGAGGACGAACGATGTTTGAACCAGCAGTATTCTCGGCGTCCAAGAAGGCACCTCCAACGCCAAAGTCATCCATAGCTCCAATACTCATTGGTCGGGACAACCTTCCCCGGGATCCGTCCTCTATAGCGCTCCGGGCATTTCGATGCGACATCATGACCGGATGAGGGTTTGGAAACACCTCCGACTTAGCCTTCGCCTTGCCCTTTGCTTTGTCTTTGTCTTTGATGAATCCGTCAAGGCCCCATGAAGCGAGATCTACCTCGCCAGCTTCCTCGTCTTCGAGCTCCTCGTCATCATCAGCTCCGAAAGGGTTTCTTAGTCCATCAATTGAGCTTCTAGACCTTCTGTGTCCTGGAGTAGAATCGCCTGCTTCACTGGGCACAGACACTCCGAGGTAGTCAGTGCTCTTACGAGACTGCCCTCTTCGGAGATGAGCGAAGATAGCGCTGTCATGTGCGGAGACCAGAGGTAAGTTGGGGTTGGTTGGGTCATTGTCATATTCTGCGATTCCAAGAGACTTTGTGAAGGGGGTACGTCAAATAAGTCTCGCACACTTACCGAGTAGCGCCGCAGCTAATTGAAGGCGGGAGAAGGCTGCGGGAGTAGCCATGAAGCATGCACAGACGAAAAACTCGCGTTCAGTCTAAAAACGATTGTGAAGTGCCAGAAAATGCTCGGTGTGGACTGTCGTATATATACGATGTTTTGGATAGTAGTGCTGCCAACGGCGATATATACTCAAGTACTATACTGTGGTGAGATCAACTTGAGGAAGCATAGCCTCCCACTGGCACGTGGTCATCATTTTCCAGGATAAAAGTCAGCTACATTAATGAACAAGCTCTAGTTACACGGGAATTAAATCATCTGGTTATCTCTCTCAGAGGCGGCGGTCATCTTCCGGTAAGTTCAAGGTTGAACCAGTTTGTTTATCACACTGATGAACGAATCGTGTCACAAACTTGATACTCTGTACACGGCCACTCCCCATAATGACTCGGAACTCGGCCAACAAAGGGGAAGGAGATTGATATTTTCAATGCCCTCACCACTGCGCTCGTTTAGTAGATTGTCTTCTCTGCAATCCTCTGGCAAGGGGTCCAATCCTGATAAAGGGAAAGGTATCAATCATGTCGGATGACCGAAACCTCGGGTGGGTACTGACGGAACAGCAAGTCAAGCGCAGCCCTAGACACCAAGGCATACCAGATATTTCGCTCTCACAATGCCCTTCTGCTGTGCCCTTCATATGACCCGTCTGGTATCCTCTTACTTTCACATCAAGAAATGCGGACTCGCTGGAAGATTCGAAGTGTCTTGTCATCCGAGTCCGAATCGGACACAGACTGGGACTTTGACGTGACAATTTATGATACGCCATGATTCAGGAGTTCTCTCACCGTGATTGATACAGCGGCTTGGGCGCTTTTGGAACGTGGTTTGAATGTCAATGTGGACGCTTGCAACTGTGAAACGGAACAAGCTTCAGCGCATACACAGTGAGTGACTGAGTTTTTTTCGCCATGCATGTCTTAAGTCGAACCACAAATTCACCATCGTGCCTACCTAATGATGTAAATAATGTACTTGCATACTATGACTAAATACATACTAGTCGACCTAAACATATGTAAATGTCACAACTAGAACAGCGCCTACTAGTAACCCGAACTATATAGCCGCCCGTCTTGACCTTGACCTTCTACTACGACCCTCGTCTGTCACTCACGATAAACCTCGGAACTTCAGTATTATTATGGAGTATGGTCGCATTGTCGGTGCTGAACGCAGTATCTGCTTTACTGAACTTACTGTGTAGGGGGGCCTTGCCAGACGATTTAACACCCTTTGTCACTCGAACAACTCAAGACCACATTAGCGGAGGTGGATTTGGCGACGTCTGGAAGTGTAATTACAATTCAGACGGTATTTCAGCCGTCGTCAGTTCACGTGTTACACCCATTGCGCTGGCTTACCCCGACCAATTCCATCAACACATAAGGTTGCGGTCAAGGCCTTCAGATACCCAGAGCAATGTGATGATTTAGGGAGAATTCACAGGGTAAGAAATACCAGGTCCGCATATATTAGCACATGCTACTTACCATCATCCAGAAAATTAGCAGAGAAATTGGCATTTTAACTATTCTACGCCATAAAAACATTGTACCGTTGTTGGGTACGGTGACAGGATTTGGACGGAGGCCAGAGTTGCCCAGCCTAGTAACTCCGTGGATTCCCAATGGCACGTTGAATGTCTACCTGACATCTAAACATAACGATCTATCAGCGCGGGACCGTTCACGTATGGTAAGTAGAATTCCCATCCCATCCTTTCAATTATCAGGACTGACTCGACGTTGGAAGTTGGAGGATGTCAGCGCTGGACTGTGTTACCGTCAGTTTCATATTTTCTTTTCTCAAAATGTTCTGGTAACCTACCGTGGGTGCAGTGCACTCGGTGCCGGTCGTGCATGGAGACATAACAGGGGTGAGCCCGGAGCTGCCGGTATATTCTTGAAAACTAATGAAACTGTAGGCAAATATACTGATTGACGAGAGAGGCCAGGCGAAGCTAATTGATTTTGGTCTTTCTACCGTCCTTTACGGCCAGTCACACTTGGCTGCAACATCGATACATGCAGGTGCGATCCGCTACGCAGCACCAGAACTTCTATCAGATGATGTCGGTGACCTACCTTTGGAAAAAAGTGATATCTACTCATTTGGTTGTGTAATGCTTCAAGTGAGTTGGATGTTTGGTCATAACATGTTCGCTTGAGGACTCATCGAACAAGATCCTCTCGGGTCGCCACCCTTGGTCTGAGATCAAGTCTCAAAACTCGGAATATGGTATTTATGGTTTAAAGCGCCAAGGTCATAGTCCGCAGCGTCCCAACGGCCACCCTGCAATAATGGATTCAGATTGGGACATCATTCAAAAATGTCTGCAATTAAAATCTGATCTTCGGCCTTCAGCAGATGAAGTATTCGACTTCGTCATGCGTAGGCTTTGCTCATCAGGTCAGCCTGCATAGTTCATGGTGCTTTTTGACCATCCACTCATTTGAGTTTCAAGGTTCTTCGAACCTACCTGACAACCCTTCCGACAATGCGCAGGGTGACTTCCCTGGACCTTCCCCGCACGACGATTATGACAAATCAGGTATAACAAGACACCCGCTCAACAGTCCACGACCCCAACCTGATCATGAGCTTACGAATGTGATCATAGAGCCTCGAGCTCAGAGATCTTTGTGGGTCCATATTTGCACAGTTTCACAAGTTTCAATATTTATTTTTCTAGTTCTTGTTCGTCACTCCAGAGTATCAGCAGCACTGATCGCGAACCGGGATTTGACACTACTTCTTTACCATTCAGTAGTCTTGGCACTGATTCTCGTGAGTCACATCCATGTCAAGCGAGCGTCGAGGTGGATATGTATCATCACCACGAGTAGTTCGATCGACTGGCAACCCAGTACATGAACAGGAATATTCAGTACCAGCGCCACCTCCGAATGCATCGTCGAGCAGCCACGAAGTACGTGCTCTACTTCTCGAGACACATTACTGTAAATAGAGGTCACTGATTGAATATATCAGATGTATCTGCAAAAAAGAAACATCGTCCTATTTGGCGAAACCGGTTCGGGTAAAAGTTCTATCATCAACATAATCGCGCAAAAGCAGGTTGCGAAGACATCTAATGACGCACATGGATGCACTTCTACCGCTCAACGCTACCCAGTAGAAATTTCAGGCCAGCAATTTATCCTGGTTGATACCGCAGGTCTCTACTTTGGGAATGCAGACACAGTGCCGGTGGCGAAAGCAGAAAAACAGTTGAAAAGTTTGTTGCGTGAGCTCATGAGCTCTAGGCCAGGTGGAATCAGCCTTCTGGTGTACTGCATGCACAGCACGATTTCCCCTGGTGCCCTTGTCAAGGCCTACAACAAGTTTTACTCCGAAATCTGCCAGAAGAAGGTTCCAATTGTCATCGTTGTCACAGGATTGGAGAAAGAGGCTCACATGGATAGCTGGTGGGATACTAACCGGGACAAATTCGAAGGCTTGTGTCTTGCAGACCATGCTTGCGTTACAGCGCTTTGGGAACACCCAAGCTTCCCAGACCGCATTACTCGCCATATTTCGGAGTCGGGCGACATTCTGCGCAAGCTGCTTTTGAACAATCGCGCGGATTTGGCGGTTGACGATTCAGTGGTCAATAAAAGGTGGTTGAAGCAGCTAGGCGGCAGGATTGTTAAGAGGAGATGAACAGCTAGCAGGAAGAAAAACGTTATGTTCAGGAGATTATGGTGTTGTTGTATTCCATATTCAAACATTGAAGTCCGCCATGCTCACATGATGATCGTTTCATCACGGCATTGATTGCCCCATTCCATGTTCAGTCTCTCATGCATTATTCTCGAAGGGACTTTTTATTCTTCTCCTGCATACGTAACAAGTTACTTGTGAATCCGACTCAGTGTAAAAGACCTAGTGTTGACAGAAGATGATCAACTTCAAGTTGTGTGGTTGGTGAACTTGTTGAAGTTGTGGGAGAGGAGTTAGAAGTCTAATAGAAGAGGTTCGAGTTAGAAATCCGACGCACGCGACAACCGAACTCAATCATAATTAAGAGATTTGAAAATTTATTATATTGGAAAACAAGATCTACTGCAACATCACAGTTCATCGTGAACAACATTTCCATGTTCATCTATTTCCTCCATCTCGAATTGAATCTGGTTGCCTTTCACTTCCTCAGGATAATCGTCCACGGGTATGTCGCTAGGCAACTCCGGGTCAACGGGAGGAGCTGGTTTTACGGTGTCATCTGTCGGTGCGGTCTCAGAGACACCAAGTGATCGCCTGAGAACTCTATCCACACGAGTCAAAAACCTGCGTGACGTCATTATGAGACATTGTTTTATCAGTTTTGTTAGGACCTACATGTTGGAGTTGGCAACTTCAAACCCTGAACGAACAAGAGCCCCGTCGATCAAGATAGATGCAACCTCTTTGAGCTGTGCCTCAGAATCCAGGTCTTTGTCATCTCCGTCTGCATTCAATTGCTCAACGTGTTCTAAGAGGCCTTCGATCAACGGCGATCGCGGATTAATTTCGAGAACCTTCTGCTTCCTCATAAAGTCTTGCATGGCATCGATTTTCTGGGCCCCCCGGCTTGTGGCACCTGAAAATATTTACTGAGTTTGAACCAGTGCTCCCAAGTCACCGCTTAAACGCACTCATGAGCTTCTGAACATTTGCAGTATAACCCATGCTGTCTGCGACAATTGCACAAGGACTCGTCACGAGCCTATTAGAGACGATCACTGACGAATATACAACCTCAGGCCAGAGTGTCACAATCGAAAAATGAATACTCACCTTTCTTAACATTGTCACCAGCCTCCAATTGCAGCCACTCGAGAAGGGGAGCGTATTTGTCTGTCAATTCCGCGATTGCATCCTTTTCCTCTTCGGTGTCTGTGCGGATGCGAATGAGAATAACGAAAACTCACATCAATAAGAACTTACCATCTCCAAAGTCCAGTCCAGCCTTGGCGACGTCCTGGAATGGAACACCCCTTTTAACCCATCAGTGAGATATTCTTTCAATCGTGGAGGTCATTAGTGGGCTTACTTCCAATAGCGGATGCTCTGAAGCATGATCTCGTCCAAGGGCTCGTTCAGAAGCAGTACTTCATACCCGCGGGCGTGCAACTTTTCTACAAACACGCTTTGAGACAGATGTTCGATGGATTTGCCCATGTCGGCGAGGTAGAAAATCTGGATTGTAGTTTAAACATATCGCTCCATTTCTTCTCAATACGACTCACCTGCTTTTGCCCTTGCTTCCTGTTCTCCAAATACTGTAATGTTACAATTTAAATTCATGGTCCAAGATGATCATAATAATAACCACTAACCGAGTCAAACGATACGGCTTCCCGTTGGTTTGTGTTCAAGCGTACAAGAGCTGCCAATTTCTGGCGGTTTTTACTGTCCTCCGACGCGGCGAGTTTCAAGACTTGGCCATAGTGCTTCGTGATCTCGGTATATTTTTCTTGGTCTTCTTCAGCAATTTTAGAGAAGAGCTGAATGAGACGGCGTAAAACAATTTGCTTGATCTGCTTGAGGAAAGAGCTGGACTGGAGGGTTTCGCGAGAAACATTCAATGGGAGGTCATCAGCTAAATGGGAGGTATACGAGTTAACGGAGATTCCCCGTGTCAAACTGAATCGATTTACCATCAATAATGACCTTCACCCAGCTGGCCCACTTCGGCAAGCCATATTCACCTAGGTCAGAGGTGATGAACACGTGTTTCACCATCAGCCTGACGTCCTTTGTCGAACTATCGAGCGGATTGTTGAAGAACTCCTCAGTCCTTCAAAGACATGGGTGAGAGGCACATGATTATAACCATAACTACTCACAAACGCGAGGGAATGTAGATGAGGGCATGGAAAGACACGCCGGATTCCGAGTCGCCGTGGAAATGGTGCCATGCAAGGGGTTTCTGGAAGTCTTTGAAGGTTCCTTGGTACAGTAACTCATATTCTTCATCAGTGACTGTCTTAGGATCGCTGACAAGATGAGTGTGAGCATATCCTTTCTAGAGCAAGGGCGACAACGCACCGCATCCAGAGGGGAGGCTGTGAGTTCAAGTGTTCCCAGTGACCAACTATAACCTTCTTCATCTCGGGAGATACGGATTCCTTCTCCGCATCTTCCTCAATCACAGCTTCATCCTCGTCCACGTCAGTAGGTTTTTCTTCCTGCTCGTTTGAAATAACTTCTTCATCTACGTCGGGAACTTCTTCCTCGGTCTCATACCAGATGTAAATGGGGAAGGCAGTCGAAAATCCAGAGTGCTGGTTACTGAGGTGCTTCTCAAAAAAGGTGCGCAATAAGATAGAATGATATACATACACAAGCTTCATAAGATTAGACGTCACAAGATAGTGGGAAGCGTCACTCTTCAGATAAAGTGTAATCTCCGTTCCATGCCCGAGGGTATTTCCGCGTGGGTCAGGGTATATCTCGAATGATCCCTCATCTGCAGAAGAACTAAAGACAGTCTGAGTAGGATTAGGATTCTTGGACGAGGGCGGGGGTAAAGATGCAACAGTGACTTTATCTGCTACAAGGAAGCTGTGAAAAAGTTAACCATGTGTACACGGACTCGAAAGTGACACTAACCTGCTGTAAAAACCGAGCCCAAATGCACCAATAAGATTGCCAGATGCGGTCGAGTCGTCACCGTCTACTCCCGCAAGAAAGTCAGAAGTTCCAGACTTCGCCAAAGTACCCTAAGTGTTCAAAATATTGTTATTTTACGCCCACACTTTGCAGGACGGTGAGACTCATACCAGGTTGGTTGTTAATTCTGCTGCACTCATGCCAATGCCGGTGTCTGGGTACAATAACAATAAGTACTGCAACAGAATACGACGCAGAGTGGTACATACCAGTAATAATGATACGACCACCCTGACCATTGGGATCTTTCTCCGTTTTGATAGTGAGGTTCAAAGGGGAGACACCATCCCACACGCTCTTCTCTGTGAGCGCGGTGAGCCGAAGCTTTTCGAGCGCGTCATTGGCATTTGATATAAGCTCCCGCAAGAACACGTCCCTGAGGTAAGTGGGTTCAGCAAAGAGAATGCGTTTAGCAATTGTAATATCACCTGTTTGAGTAAAGACTGCAGTACGTGGTACATAGTTAGTAGTGCTCGAGGTCGACTCTGATGTGAGGCTACCGCACCTGTTGACAACTATCTTGCGCAGGCGTGCAACATCACTCTGTCAAACAAATCATCTGCTAAGGTACATTGGTGCAGAACAGAAGCGGGGCACCTACCTGGTAGTCATGTGTGACCTTCTGTGTATTAGTACCTGCGTCTTGCGCGAAAACAGAGGACGAGAGGGCTGTAAATAGAAGGATTAGAGGACTCAGCAGACGCATTGTCGAGTGAGTCGACTGGGAACGAGAGTTGGTCTCTTCAAGTTGGCTGGTGCAAGTTCAGCAGAAGTACGGCAGCTATTTGAAGTATGAAATCGTTGTGTGAATTTGCAAGTACTGACGTGTTCGATACCACGTGACTAACTTCGGGTGTCACCTGACGACGACACGTTCTCAAGAGTCGAGCGCTAAGCATTGTAAATAAAATGAAAGAATGGGATGAGCCACTAAGTACACGAATCAACTATGCTACACATGGACAGATAGTTTAGGCGCAGTCAGACCTGCAACATAATCCTAGCACGGATTAGACAAGGTTGCAAATTCCAAACCCTTCATTTAACTCACCCTTAACCATCGTTCTCGTTGTGCTGCCACATGCTCGAACATGATATATCTCTTATCATTCTGACAATGAATTAGTTGTCACATCCATTCCACGAACGACTGACCATACCTTCAGCACTTTCTCGATGTCCGAAAGGTCCACACTTTTTGCGAGAGCTTTCATGTCGACCTTTCCACCAAAGCCTTCACCTTCATCCTCACCTAAGTCATCTGCTTTGACCCCTCCTTCGACTCCTTCACCTCCTATTTTTCCTAGTCTTCCCCAGAACTCAACAAAGGAGTTCTCCGCAAGCATCTCGTCAAATGCTTTTCTACATTCGTATGTCCGTTCGCGTTGCCATTTATCATATTCCTGTTGGAGATCACGAGTGTCGAAGGCGAGTTTTGTGACCGGAAGCGATTTTAATATGGATTCAAGCGGAAGAGCAGAGAATGGTGTTGCCAAGGATGGTGCATGGGCTTCAAATAACGAACGTAGACCGGCCAAATGTTTCATCTGTAACTGACTCACATGTGCATGGAAGAGATGCAACTGCTGATTTACTGGAAGAGGTGAGTTATTGAATCGAGGATCAGTTTGAAGTTGAGGACGTGTCGATTCCCAGGTGGCCTGCGATTTTAATAAGATGCGAGTTAGTAACTGCCTCGAAGAAAAAAGTAACCGTACCTGTGGGTCTCGCACTGCGTCTGTAAGCAGTGTACTAAACAAGAAAAAGGAAAGGAGTTGAGCGACGTAACTTGGGCCCTTGAACTATGGAAATAAAGGTGGCTCACCGGAATTCTCTTTCACCTTCCTCCAGGTTTAAACCCATCTTGGAGCGCCCTATTTCGGCGTCCATACGAGTACGATCAGCTCTCACCTTTTGTTCACGTTCTTTGAGAGCTTGTTCCTTCTTCTCTCTACGCTTTCGCTCAGCATCTTCTTCTGTACCGTTTTCTCCCGTCTCATCCATTACTTTAGTAGAGGTTGAATGCGAAGATGAAGACCCATGTGCCTTGAGGAATATCTGGAATAGTTCTTCACGCAGAGACGAAGACCCGACAGCATCGTATCGCGCGTCATGAGATACTTTTCGTTTCACCTAGAATGCAAACTTTCAACATATGCAATGGCGATAAGGCAGACAAATACTTACGTCCTTCCATAATGAATCTGACCTGACCACACCACTCTCTCGCAGAAGAGTAAAGAAATCTACTTCCGCCTTCTCAGCGGCTATACGCTTTTCTAGATTGAGAAAGAAAGTCAGCTGAATACATCACTCATGAAGCATAATAAAATTCATACTCTCTCCAAGCTCTTTGAGATACTCCTTGAATCGTTTCTCTCGCTCTCGGTCATCTCTTCCCCATCCGTAAAATCGCCGGTCTTTCTTCCACGTCCTTCGAAATTCAGACCAGGACGTTCTTGTGCTCCTTACTTCTTGGCTAAGAAGTCGTTCGTACTCTTCCTTAGGATTTGCTTCCGCCTTTTCTTTCTTGACATTTTGCTGCCGCAGTTCGCGCGCGCGATCCCGACAGTATTCATCGAATGCATCACGACGTGCTGAAACAGAAGGGAGTAGAACGTAGCGGGGATCTGATATAAACAAGGGTAATGAAGTATCCCAAGGGTGCAAAGGACTGATATCCTTTTCCCTGAGTAACGTCTGGTCGATGAAGTTAACCAAGGGGTCGTTAATTAAGAGCTAGTGACAGACCTTGAACAATGCCTTAGCCTCTTCAATAGAAAGATCGACACGATCGGGCATGTTGAGCTGAGACCTCTCATTTTCTTGTATCTTCTTGGCATCTGTGTCTTCTGCTTCCCGTGCAAACCTGGCCTCTTCTTCCAGCATCTTCTTATTCTCCTCTGCTTCAGCAGCGAGTTGTGCAGCAGCTTCGCGTTGCCACTCCTCCTCCTCCTCGCTCTCATCATCATCATCCTCTCCTTCCTCTTCCTCCTCACCTTCATCGTCATCTTCTACTCGCGCCTTTTTTGAAATCACGACCTCATCCAGAGGCTGATATTCTTCCGCTTTTCGCTTTGC